TCGTTTTAAAAATATATTTGGCAACTTTGGACCATGAAACCAAACGATCGTGGAATTGAATTGACCAAACATCCCAATGTAACAGCACCCTTCTGAAAATATTCTTGAGACTCAGCGAAGCTTTGAACTCTGCAATAGTAAATGTACAGCCCTTTTGCATTTATGTATGTTGAACTTCTTTCACAAGGTACGTAGCTAAACCGTGGAAATCGGAGGTGTGGGGGAAGGACAACAAACTGAACACAAGAAATTCGTTTTACATTTTCCAATCCACAGCAGGATGAATGTCTCCCCACACAATGCGCGTCATGTTTTATTTTTGTATTAAATAATTCAACCACGCTGGTAAGGGTGGGTAGGTGAAGAGGAAAAGGTAAGGACCGGTTCTGGTATCACCCGCCTCACTAATGTCCGCCGTGGCCAAGAACCGAACTCAGACCAGCAGGTTAATAACAGCGTGCTAACTACTGTACGATTGCCCTGCCAAATATATGCCGTGACATCAATATTGCTGTACTTGTTATTTTCTGCTCTACCAGTGGTCGGGGGAAAGTCTGTCCTTTCGACGGCCGTTGCTGAAATTCCAATGAAGCGGTACTACATTTTTTCCACAAAAAATGGATCATTGGCTGAGTCCTAGATAAAAATTTTACGTGAATTGGGCGCTTTAACTCAGTGCCACTCAACTGCAAGAGACAGATGTTGTAAAAAAGACTAACACTTTATTTTTAGCATAATTATTTTTTTATTAAAGGCTACAATATATTTTTCTTTGAAAGTAAATTTTAACTAAATATTTTTAAAAGTAATATTATGGATTATTCATTCATAAAATGTCATACAATTATTAAGTATTTGTATTATTTAAATGTAATAATTTTTTTTTATTTGGTAAAATATTATTTACCAAACAAAACCTAAGTATATATGGGTTTTAAATCTATCGAGCTGGATCTAACTAGAATACTGTAAAAAAAAAAAAAGTAACTTGATGGTACAGAAAAACTGTACCTGCTATTTTTATTTGCTGGAAAGGGACAAAAACACAAACCAGTTGTGGGCACGCGTGTGGCCTTGGGAGATAGCGCAATTATTTTTGAGGCTGAGCAGACCTAGTTGTAGTTGGATCTGCTTGCCAGTTATCCACTGAGAAAGCAGCCAACAGTTTAACTTCAGCTGCAGTTGCCCAGTCCTGCGACCAGGGCCAGATTAAGGCACGGGGGCCTTAGGGGCTGCAAGCCCAGAGGCCTCTGCCAGCTGGAGGGCCTCCAGATATTAACTGAAAAGTTATTTAATTTGTGAATGCTGAATTGTATTTGTTAGCCTTGTAGAAATACAGTGTAAGTTTCTTTCACTTTGTTTTCCTTTTGAAAATATTGCTGGGGGCCTCTCAGTACCTGTAACCCAGGGGCCTACAAAATCTTAATCCGGCCCTGCCTGCTATAGTAACAGCGATATGATTACAAAAAAAGTATTAATCTATCTAAATCAGCACAAACCTCCTGCAAACCACATGACCTGTGTGACCACTCTGAATCCTTCTCATATATTTATATATATCTCTGTCCAGTACCAGGGCTTGAACTCATGAATCTCAGCAGTTCTGGTTCAGTGGCTCCGACATTGCTACAATATCATTTGTGATGGTCGGGTCACTTCTGAGAGCGAGAGAAAAAAAAGCGCTATATAGCTCAATGGACCTTACCTGGTACAATAAAACAAAAACGTTTGGTTAGTTTGGTAACTCAGAGAGACGCCCAGACGCAAGGCTCGTCAGTGTCATGGGACGTGGCCATCACGGACCCAGTGACCGGTCTGGCGCCGTATTGCACCGCGGTTGTGCAATGCACGTGTTGCACAAGTGGTGCTTGGCCGTCATGGTGCTCTGCTGCTGCTGTTACTGTCCCCGCCGCTATCGCATGTGCACACACATCCTGGGTCGGACCCCACCCCCCGGCCCCGCCACCACCAGATCACCATGGGCGAGATGCCCTCTCTATTTAACCATGCGAATGGAACTGTTGCTTGGGCTTCCTCGATTCAGCCCATCATCCTCATCGTTATCGCCAAGTGTTCACGGTTGGCAAATGAGTGGCGATGTGGAGAGAATGCACGGGAGCAGAATTTGAAGAAGAAAAAAACATGTTGCTTGAATTGAGATCCAGGGTTTTAGATGAGCCCAAATGCCATCGTCATCGGCTGGCTGCGCAATTGCAACACTCGCGTCTCACCACAAGAAGCCCCCCCCCCCTGTTCGATTCCCGACTCTGGCACCTTTTTGTTTGAGGTGTGTATGTTTCTAAATTAGATGTGTATGTTCTCCCCCTGTTATGCAAGGGTTTCCACCCATGTCTAAGAACAACTAAAACATACAATTGGACTGGTATTATTGGACGAGCATCCCAATGCTTAAGAATCTCTAAATAAAAAAAGCTAAAGATGTCTGCAACAACTCAGCTGGTTTCAAGTTCCTGGATCGTCTAATTTGGCTCCAAAGCGCGATACTATGGAGGAAATATCCATGATGTATTGCTTTGAATAATGAAATTTGAGCTCTACAGGAAAGCTTTCTTCAGTTGAAGTTTCAAGTGTTTGAATCTTTTCAGATTTCTTTTTTTACGAAATATTACATTTTACAACTATTACGTACCTCAGCAAGACACTATTGAGGCAATATCCATGATGTATTTATTTCAAAGTGATATTTTATATTTTGTATGTATCTTTTCAAATCTTGTTTATTTTTGTATCTATCTTCTATCTATAGCTTATATCTTTAGATACATATTTTATTAGAAAATATAAAAAAGCGTGAAACTTTATTTAACATCTGCTAAATGCGTTAAGCCGGGTACAGCTAGTTACCTATAACTTGCTCTATTGGGATTACACACAGATCAACATCGCAGCTGTCGCCCTCTACTGCGAAAACTTGGCAGGACCCTCCTAAAATAAAGTATTGACTCAGTAAAACTTTGCTGGGTAAACAAGCGTGATAACAATCCTTCATTATCGGCAGCAGCAGCAGCAGCGTCTGGAAACTTGCATCTGCATTCTGTTGGCAGGAATTGATTTGTACTGGTGGCATGGCGTTGAACTTGATGACAATGTTGATAGGGTCACTGGGAAACTTTTGGTCTGTTGAAACAGTGGCAATACTTCCTGCAACATTCAAGCGATCACAATAACATCACTTCCACCACCACCACGACCTCTAGAATTATTCCCGGCCTCAACATCACCAAAACATCAGCATTATCACCAGCATCGCTATTAGCAGCAGCAAAAGCACCTACAATCATTACCATCACCACTATCACTGCTACCCTCATCACCAACAATCGTCAACCATGATCCCTTATTCACGGTCGGTGAAATATGTACCACTTTGGGTTGGAGGTCAACAGTGGTTTCTCCACGGATGGAATGGCCCTGCCACAAAGATGTGGAATTTCTACCGTTGGCTCGAACGAGCAGGGAGACATTTGCTGAAGTTTGACATTGCACACAAAATAAGTATAACCCGTAAAAACAAAGTTTTTCACTATAAATCCTTTATATGCGTGGCGGCTAGAGTCCTCTCGTCCTCTGGCTTGAGATGGCTGCCACCTATGGGTCAGATGATTGTCTGCCAGTATTAAGCAATTGGTAATTAAATATTTAATTTGTTTTCCATAAACAGTGTAAAATTTTTGATTTTTTTTCACGAACATTAATTGTCTCGCACAACGAGTCTGTGTGCAAAATGTCAGCTCGATTGGATCACGGGAAGTGGGTTAAAAACGACCGAAAGATTTGCACGGTCATAAGCAAGCAAGCACGCAAGCAAACAAGCGAGCGAACTTAATATAAAGGATTTAAAAAAGATAAACATGTCTAGAGCAGCGTAACCCACGTGGTAGCATCTAAACTTCCCGATTAATCGATTAACACCGACTATTGTAGCCACGGACACGCATCGATTATTTTAAAATCGCGTGGGACCACACACACGTAAACACACGTAAACACACGACTGCCGAATAATGAGATTCCGAGATGTGAATACCGAAGTGACGAAAGAGATCGATTGATCGAACATATTCTTGGTTCTTTCGGTAAAGCCACGTAGAAGGGAAATAATACAATAATAAAAATAAAGCATACAATTAATGTTTAATATTTATTATTTTATTATTTCCCTAATAAAAATAAAGCATCTTAAAATGAATGTGAATTTTTTATTATTTTATTATTTCCCTTCTACGTGACTTTACCGAATGAACCAAGAATATGAATCCCTGCAGTCACGAAAGCTTTAAATCGAAATTGATCGAACATATTTCATCGGCTTGGATTCGTGCGGTCTATGGGAGGTCATCTTCCTCTTCCGGAAGACGCCGCCGCCCACGCGAGAGCCGCCAGATCCTATGCAACCGTCGCATCTTCCAGAAGAGGAAAATGTCTTCCGGAAGACGGAAGAATCATCCGGAAGAGGTGGGCGTCTTCCGTCTGGCAGATGTCTGTCAACTGTGACGTAGGCGGTAGTGACGTCACGCGAGCCGTCGCGAAAACTGAAGCGTCGTTTTATTTTGTTGTTCCAAAATTTGTCTCGAGCGTGAATCAAAGGATCCTGTTATAAAATAAACGAACGCGTGAAATCACAATTATATATTTCTTATTTAAAACGACGACGACTAAAAAAAAAATCTAAAAACAATGAGAAAGCACCCACGTGACGTCGCCGAACCGGAAACGTAGTCACGCGACGAACCCCCCCGGTGACGTCACGCAGCATAGCGGAAGTGACGTCAGCAACCGACCGGCCGCTTTCAATCGAGCTGATAAAATTCGATTTCTTTTACAAATTCCCACACCCCAGCCCCGCCACTCGAAGCCGCGCAAACAACTTCGCCTCTTCTCGGAGAAGCATCAGGGAACAAAAAAAAATATCCCCTCGCCAATCGTTAATAAATAAATAAATAATCGCCGCTCCACACTTCCCCCTCCCCCCGCCCCACAACGCCCCGCGCGCGCTGCCCCCGCCCCGCCCCGCCCGACTTGAACATGGCGGCCGTGCGCTGAGGAGGTTTTCGCGGCTCACATCTCGGTGGCTTTCTTCTGCTAAACCTCCCCGCGTCCTCGTCGTCGTCTTCTTCGTCGTCTTCTTCGTCGCCGTCGATCGTCGTCCCCCGCGCGGGTGGGTTTGTTTGCTGTTGCTGGTCTTCTTCTTGTTATTATTAACGAAACCGACTCGTCACAACGGCCGTCACTTCCCCCCGACAGCGCCAGCTGATTATAAAGTTCGTTCTCGCCGCCTGATTCACCGCTACGGGGCTGCTGGTGCTGCTGGTGGTGGTGGGTTTCTTCTTCTTCTTCGCCTGTGTGGCGAGATGTCTATGCTGACGAAGCCGGAGGAGGACACTCCTGAGGCGATGTCTTTGTCTCCCCGCGCGCGCGATGTCTCAAAAGTTTCTTGTTTCAAGAGGCCATTGTCGCGTTCGGCGTCGTCTTGTTGTCAAATGGTCACGATCTTTGCCGCCGTCGGAGGCGTGCGGACGAGGTTTGGTTGAGGCGGCGGCGACGACGCCTTCCCGAACCCCACTTGCTTTGCCTCACAGATTGGTGCCGTGATGTGAACCCGCAACTTTACCGGGCGTCGATGTTCGATTAATCGGGAGAGGGATACGCCATCGATATCGGTGCGCCAATGCGAGGTGCCACCGTCTTCAACGTGGTCACTCAGTTGCTGGATAAAAGGCCTCCCAGTTATTAGTCGTCGCCTTCTCACTGGTCTGCGGCTGCTAGGGTGTTAACCAGAACACATTACACCCGTTTTGGCCTCCCTGCATTGGCTTCCAGTTTCACTTAGAATACCGTTTAAAATCCTATTCTTAACTTACAAAACGGTGAACCATCTTGCCCCAGCCTACATCATTGACATCCTGTACCCATATGTCCCCTCAAAGTCAGTAATATCTGGGGATGCAGATCTTCTCTGCATTTTCAGGTCGAGGTTTCTGTCTATGGGTGACCAAGCTTTTTCCCGTGTAGCCCCCAGGCTACGGAACGCGCTTCCACAAGATATCAGGATCTCTGAGTACGTTGACATTTAAAAAATGCGCCTTAAAATCTATGTATATGCTTCTGCTAATTCAACTTTTAGTTAATTTACTAAATATTTTTTTTAAAATGTATTTTTTATGCGTAGTGTCTACTGCTGCTGTCCTGTACAGCGCTTTTATATCCTTGATGAAAAGCGCTCTATATATGTATTTATTATTAACAATCGTCAATGTCGGTTTTAATCGTTAACTTTACCGTGTTATTTATGTGCAGTTCCATTGTCGATCGACGGTTGGATGACGGCTTATCCACACCGTGTCGCTAATGGTTGTTGTGAATATTACGAACGTTATAAAGTGCAGCTTGCGTGACTACACCCTATACGGTAACGTTCAAATGTTAGCACGGTGAACTTTTCTTCTCGCAGATGTGCTAAGAAAATTAGTGTTAGGAACTGCTGGCCTTCAACCCTATCCCTCAAATCCTAGACCCTACCATATTAAACCCCGCCCTTAAACCATTTCCCTAAACTATAACGCTACCTCTAAAACTATGATCCCAACCGTAAGTTTTACGGTAAGCCATAACCCCTTAATCCTAAATCCACTTTTCGGTTAAATGACAACGTATGCCTCGAGTCATAATATTTAATCACTAACCCCTTAACCCGACACGAACACTGAAGAATACACAAATTAATATTTAAGCAACTGAGAGGTCCCTGATTGAACGGAAATGTAGCCTATGCTTGGACACAAATCTGCGGAGACAGTAGTTACTCTTTTAACAAGATCTATACATTGACCGGACGCGTTAACAATACGAGCTTGTAAACGTTAGGATGTCGGCACGCGAACTGTGTTACTGGGCATTGACGATGTGACACTGACATATTAACAATGTTCGCACAGAAACCAGACACAATATTTAGACCCCCCCCTACACTGTTATAAATTAATACTTTATTAACCAGTGTGTAATTATATAGACACATTACGTAAACATTGTTCACAGCTTTATGTGCATTGGCACCTCGTACATGGAAAACGGCACTTCATAGGGAAAATAATTATACAGTACCAGTGTGCCTAAAAAAATAGCGTTTTCAATCGGTGCATATTTCTGTTAACATTTGAATCGGTTACATATGAATCAGTCTTTGCCAGCCTTTGAGTGTTAGTACCAGTTCGATATACGTTTTGGCTTTTCTCCGGCAAGAAGCCAAACACAATCGATGGAATTATCCAAACGTCCCAAAGTAGCAGGACTCTCGTGAACATTTCTTGAGACTCAGCGAGGCTTTTACGGGATAAGCATATCTTGTTATTGCTATAATTACTACCGTCACGAGCATCTCCACCATCGTGACCACTCGCCACTCGCACTAGAATTAGAACATTTGCGTTATTATTACTGAAGGGTGGAGCAGTGGTGCAGCGGTCTCAGCTTTTGTGCTAAGAACTGGGATACCAGAGGGTTGTTCCTAGCCACAACTAAGTATGGTGAAGTATGGTCAAACAAGCCTCATGAGTGATGTGGTGTTTGTGAGCCATCTTCCAGCAGCAGTTTGACCTGAAATGGCTGTGAACTGGAATTCGCTTCAAAAACAGAACTTGAAAATCACTTGACCGTGTCTTTTGTCATCGGCACAGTGGGTTCCTTCAACTCTGTTAAGAGCTCATTGTTGTCCAAGGAGCGAACAAAACTGAGAAAATATCCATCGTGGAGATGAAAATCAACCACTGCAGGAGTTAGATAGATTGGTCCATCTCTTGAGGCTGAGCGAGATGGTGACAGCTTGGTGAGACCTCGATCTAGCAGTGGATAAATCATTGCTGATGATGGTAGAGTTGGTATTTGTTACCATTGGGCTAATGGAATGACACTCGGTTCAGTGTGCTGAACCGATTGCACTGAACCGAGGATATCAGCAGTGCTGGTTCTTGTTTTTTACACGCTTTTATTTAACTCTGTTGTATCCTCAAATCTTGTAACTCAATTTTAACACACTTCCCAGTGTTTTATCGACTGCAAACTTGGTATACTTATGTCATACTGATGACAATACTATATTCTTTCATTAAAAAACATATATTTTAAAACATTATTTTTTCTATGTTATGTTTCGGCTTGGGTCTAATTGTCCACGGTAAACTGACGTTGGCTGTAATTTACCACGTTCTCTTATATTATGGCAAGCTTCGGAGCCAATTCCTGGAGTCGTGGAGTTCTTCCATTACTAGTACGGTACATTTAATTAAAGTGTGTTTAAAAAAAAGTTTTTTAAAATATTACTTTTTGTTACACATCCATCATGTATAACCCTGAGAGAGACGAGGCCAGAGCTTGAACCCAGACACTCCACAACCCTGGCGCAGTGTCTCTTGCCACCTCATTACAAACTCCTGAGTTGCCCTATTTAATACTCTGTGCTCTCCCTCCACTCCCCTTCCTCTCTTCCTTCCACTTCAACAGGTTCCTTGCTCTCATCAAAACAAGCGAGCGAGCTATTGAGTTAACGAGTGAGAGCATGAACGAGTGAGCAAGTGCTTGAGCGCCTGAGCGATTAAGTGAGTTGGCAAGCGAGTGTCCGAGCGAGAGAACACGAGACCAGTTGAGCCACCGAGTGAACGCGCCAGCAAGCGAGCGCCGCCATGAGGGAGTACAAGGTGGTGGTGCTGGGGAGCGGCGGCGTGGGGAAGTCCGCGCTGACAGTGCAATTTGTGACGGGCACCTTCATCGAGAAGTACGACCCCACCATCGAGGATTTCTACCGTAAGGAGATCGAGGTGGACTCGTCGCCCTCCGTGCTGGAGATACTCGACACGGCCGGCACGGAGCAGTTCGCTTCCATGCGAGACCTCTACATCAAGAACGGCCAGGGCTTTATCCTCGTCTACAGCCTCGTCAACCAGCAGAGCTTCCAGGTGAGGGGGGCGGGGAGTATGAGATGGAGAGTGGTGCTGAAGATGGTGATGAGTAGTCAATGTGGTTTCGTGCGGTCTGTATGTTGATGAGTGGTGGAGGTTGGAAAGGTTGTGGAGGGAGGTGGTGCATGGTAGTGTGGTTTTGTCCATGGTGATGAGTGGTTGTCATGTTGAATGGGATTGTGGTGGTGAATGGGATTTTGATGGTGGTGATGAATTGCATTGCGGGGTGATGGTTAAGGCGTTGAGGGGGTGAAGGGGAGGTGAGAGATGTTGCAGTGGTTGGAAACGCGGTGGATTAGTTGCTGATGCATATTTTGTTGAACATGTTGGTCAGTGTGGTTATGGTGGTTAGCGTAGTGATCAAGGGGTGATGGTGTTTGGTGATGAGGGTGGCAGTGGCCTGCCTGTGGTCCATCCTAAGTTGAACCAGACTGTATTATGCGAGGAGCTCACAAATCCTCGAAGGTTCTGGACACAGATGCAATTGTTGGATCATATTACCCACATACCCAGCCACCGCATATCCAAGCAGCTCTTGTTTGCCCAGATAGAGGGTGCTAAACAGGCACGACATGAGTTAGGGAAGGGAGTGGCTAATGTGGTGTAAGATTTTGGGCATTTTAAGACAGCCAGCCCTCCAGCAATAACGGATGGGGGGGGAGTGATGCTCACAACGATCAGCGCAGCACTGGTAGCTAAAATGCAGCCAGTTGGCACAGTGGGGAGCACAAGTGGTTCATCTGACAGTCACCTCAGTCTGTTTTAATCTGTGTTTCTCCCGTGACCTGCCAGTGAGCCATTGACACTTCACGTGGCCTCAAAACGCACTTGGTGTGGCACATGGGTTGTGGTGACGTCACTGTCACTTAGTCGGAGTTGGTGGCTATTAACACAATTTTCATCAATGTAGTTCGAGAAGCCTTCCATGGCTGTATCAGTGAAGTTTCTATCTGGTACAGATACATTTGGAGGTTGATCGATGCCTGGGTGTGGTCAAGGGATGGTTCCCTACTGGTCATCCATTTTATGTACGCTGATGATTTGGTGTTTGCTGCTCACTCTGAGAAGGAGATGGAGGTTCTGCTGCTGAAACTGGAGCTTGCCACCTAAGAGTTGGGGTCTTACCGTAAGCCCCACCAAAACTAAACACCTGCCTGGGTATTTTGTATCATCCAATACTCCACCACCTCAACTCCCCATAAGTGATGGGACAGATGTGGCGAGAGTGGAGAAGTTTCTGTGGCAGCAGAGGTCTCGGTCAGGTGAGCGGCATTATCTTTTGGTCAGCTGCCTAAAACTGTGTGAAAGCTACCTGGTCTATCGTTCCACATGAAGCGCCAGGTCTTCTTGGCCACAGTCATGCTCTCCCTTCTTTTTACTTGCGAAACGTGGACCTCTCCAATGGAACATGTGCCTGTTTGAAACTTTCAGGCTGGCTTGCCTATGATCCATCCTAGGTTTAACCAGTGTGGTTTGTGTGAGGAGCTCACAAATCCTTGAAATATCTGGACACATTTTCATTCGTGAGCTCCGGCAGGCAAGGCTGTGTTGGCTGGGTCATGTAGCCCGCATTCCCAGCCCACCACATGCCCAGCCCACCGCATGCGCAAGCAGCATCAGATAGAGGGAGCTAAACGGGTGCGGTAGGGATTGGAGAAGAGATGGACTGATGCGGTACATGAGGATGTGGAGCTGAGTGTACCTGCAGAAGATTGGTACCAACGGTGTCAAGATTGCCCTCTATGGAGGAGGCTTATGAAGGATACTACTGGGCAGTTGGAGGCAGTCGCCCCCCAAGAACAATGGAGGGGAGGGCAGAGGAGCGATGCTTGCAACAACGAGCGGAGTGCCGGGCGGCTGAAATGCAGCAATTCGGCACAGTGGGTGGCACAGGTTGTGCATCTGCCAGTCATCTCAGTCGGTCAACCCATGGCACCTGGGTCTGTCCTGTGACCCCCTATCAGCGAGCCTTCAACACTTCATCTATCCTCGGAGTGCACCTAGCCTGGCACAAGCACCGTGGTTACGTCACCACCACTTAGTGGCGGATGGCGGCTCTTGTTGTTGGATGTGTCTACGCGTGCACATTAGTGCGTGTTAGTTGCATGTTTGTATGTGTTGTTGCATGTGATGTCGTAATCGTAGTGGTTGGTACACTGCGTTGGGTTTGAAGGGGAGCACAGGGGAGGGTTCTTCCAAGAGTCTGACTCAGATATCGCTCACAATCACTGGAAGAATCCGATGAGCTATGAAGTTCTTTTCACAGATGGCCAGTCGGGCGTGGATGACTGGCATTAGGCACGGCCGAGAATAAAACTTGGCAAGACTTGCATTGCACACCGCTAACCATTGTGCCACCCACTCCACACCGAATTATCGCTACTAACCGTGGTCTGAATCACGGTTCCACTACATTCGGCAGTCGTAAAAAGACCCTTGCGGGGGTGGTACCTGCTGGTGCTGTCGTCACGGTGGTGCAGGTGATGAGTAAGTGGAGTTCACAGGAATACCTGCCCAGGGCGTGGCGGGGCAGATGCACCGCGACTAAGAATTTACTGTTTGTGTTTTTCGGCAGGAAGTAATTACTCACCGTCTTGCTGATTTGAGGTCGGTGATGAAATAAATAAACACCAAACAGGAGTTGGAGGGGACATCACACCATAGTGGCAAGATGTTAACTACTTCACCTGATATACAGGAGATTGTGGGTTCGATCCCGACCATGATGATGCCTGTACGTTTGGTGTTTGCATGTTCTCCCTGTGGTCGTGTGGATTTTTCACCGGGTTCTCTGGTGTTTCCCTCCACGTTTAGAGTAATTGGCTGCTATACATTTCCACATGATAAGCCACTTCTTTGAGCTATCATTTGTGACTAGGTCGCTTCTAAGAAAGCTACATAGCTCGGTGAGCCTTACCCGGTGAAACAAAATAGTTCAGTTGAGTTAAAACATTTGTATTCAGATTTACATTGTGGTTCACCCTTACAGCAGTTGAATTTCCATACTGATAAATATAGAAATGCACCCGACTTCGACAGGACTCGGAAGCTAAGCGGGGTTAGGTCTGTATGGCGATTGGATGGGTGACCACCGTGCACAAACAGGTTGCCATCGGTGGCTGAGGGGTTCTGTTAGCTGGGGGTCGGCAGAGGACAGGACACGATAGGCACAGTCAGAGGGCAGTGCAGGGAAATCCACGGTTGTACTGTTATTAGATTGTCCAACGTCTATGCTGTGGCTGCTGCCAGGCTTTATGGTCGGCAGCAGAGAACGCTGCAGGGCAATAATGTGTCAAGCTGTACTATGCTCCGACGTCTGTTCTCCCAAGCTACACCGATGCGCGTTTACTGGCGTGGTGAAGTATCGTCCTGGAGAGGCCTTCATCATCCATCAGTGGATTGTCAAGAGCGGCCCTCCATGCCTGAGCGCATGTTTATTGATGTATAATTTGATTTTGAAAAGCAATGTGCCAAGGTGCCTTTGAAATAACGTTTTCAATCGGTTTATCGCTTGATGTTATGTGTGGACCAGAAGCATGGACATTGACAAATTTAAATTTAACGAATTGCTGTAAAGTGTGCAGTGAAGCACGGAGATTTGAATGCTGTGAGTTGCACTGAGAGACGGAAAAGGAACACGTGGATTAGAGAATACACGCAAGTTGGAGATGTCTTGACTGAATGGTGCTTTTGCACAGTACGCAGGCAATTGTACTAATTGAAGGTGCGGGGGAAGAACAGCAACAAACTAAACGCAAAGCAGTTATAAAGAAATAATTTTTTAATCGAGATTTTAAAGTACAATGCTCTAGTGGCTTCCGAATACTGGTAGTAACCTCCTGGTTCCACCAGCCCACAGGGGATTGTTCTGTCCATCCGTCGTGCATCCAAAAATGGGAGGGGTGGGGCTAGGTGGAGAGGGGCTGGGTAGGGAGGGGCTGGGTGGGGAGGGAGGGTGGGGAGGGGTTGGGTGAGGCTGGGTGGGAGGGGTGGGGCTGGTCACCCCGTGGTGCCCTTATAAAACTTAACATTTAACCTACTCACGCCGGCTTGTGCCCGCCCTCACGGTCGGGCATATTTGCGGAATACACCACGCCTCCGTTGACCCTGGCCATTGACCGAGCAACCCAACGTTACTACCAGCTCCCTCCGCAGGAATGTGTTATTGGAACGAGGAGCATTCCAGATGGCTGCAGAAGTGCATCTGAAAGCACGCGATGCGGTGATCGTCTTTGTTCGATGGGGAGCCAAAAGCTGCTGGAGTTCCGTGAGCTGGTGTATTCTCCTTGACAAGATCAGCGAGATATTGCTCTTCATTTGTGGCAAGCACTTTGTGTGTAATGAGTGTGTCCTTAAGAGCCGCAAGTTGGCTTGAGCAGGGCACGTTGCTAGAAAGGACGATGCCTGATGGCCGAGACTAACGATGGAGTGGCAGCTAAATGAGGTAACGTGCCTGTGAACAGCATCCACTGCATGGAGGGATCAAATCGGCTCATATGCAGTAGATTCATTGTGTTTCATCACGGGACTGCGATGGAGGCCTTTTCATCCAGCGGTGGATAGATAATACCTGCTGAGGATGAAGAGAGATTCACGCTGCTCATGGACTGCGGAGATTCCATTACTCTATGTTCTACAACGACCACAAGGGCAAAACAAAAATAATTTACTTGTGACCTCAGATTTGATAGCTTGTCAAATGGTGCAGGGGGTGAATCGTTAATCCCCGTCTTCCTCACCCTCCCTCGACTTCTGTTTCCTCCCACTTCTCCCACCTCCTTTCTCACCACTTCCCTTCCCTCTATACATCTCCTCCTCCCCCCCTCTCTTTACATCTTCCTCTTTACCCATCTCCCACCTTCATCTCTTCCATATTTTCATCTCCCGCGTCCCTCCCATCCCCCACCTCACCCCACCCTAACAATTCACTCCCTTGCTATCTCTCCCTCTTATCCAACGACATCTTCCATTCATCTCCCTTACCTCCCCACCTCTTCCATTCATCTCCCTTACCTCCCCACCTCTCCTGCTCCCTCTTATTCTTTACCTTTCCCCTCACTCTGTCATCTTCCTTCTGCCCCCACTTTCCCTCTACTTCGCCTTCACCCCACCTCCCTCCTGTCCTTCCCTCTTCGTTTCTGTTCCTCTTTATCTTCCCGCCTCTCTCTCTCCTCTCCTCCCCTCTCCACCTCCCCCCTCGCGTCCGTCCCCAGGACATCCGCCCGATGCGGGAGCAGATAACGCGCGTGAAGCGCTACGAGAAGGTCCCCATCATCCTGGTGGGGAACAAGGTGGACCTGGAGGGCGAGCGCGAGGTGGCCTACGGCGAGGGCCGCGCGCTGGCCGACGAGTGGGGCTGCCCCTTCATGGAGACGTCGGCCAAGCGCAAGGCCACGGTGGACGACCTCTTCGCCGAGATCGTGCGGCAGATGAACTACGCGGCGCAGCCCGACGCCGGGCAGGCTTGCTGCGCTTCCTGCGTGCTGCAGTGACGGACGGGACCCCGCGCACAGGTGGGAGGGGAGCGGAGAGGAGAAAATTACAAGGGAGGGGAGAGTTGACAATTGGAGGGGTGGTGAGAGAGGTGGGTGGGTGAGGGATGGGAAGGGTACAGAGGGGAGGTGTGGGAGGTGGAAGGATGGGAAGGGTCGACAATGATGGGAGGAGGGAGGGATGGGAAGGGTCGAGAATGAGAGGGGGAGGTGAGAGGTGGTCTGGATGAGAAGAGTAGATGATGAGAGGGGAGGTGGGAGGGCAGGAAGGGATGGCAAGGGTGGAGAATGAGAGGGGAGATGGGAAGAGGAAATGGGAAGTGACGGGAGGTGAGAGGAAGTGGGGTGACGGATGTGCAAGAGAGATGTGAGAGGAGGTGCGGGGAAGGGGTCGGGAAACAAGGCATGGAGAGAGGTGGAGATGTGAGGTCAGGAGAGGCTGTGGGTCTGCTGCGCTTCAGTGATGGATCACAGTGAGGGGATTGAATGTGGAGGGGTAAGGAGGGCAGGGGAGGAGCGTGGGATGAATAGTGGAAAAGCGAGAAACGTGAGGTGGGAGCTCGTGAGGTGATGTAAGGTGACTGTTGTGGATGAGAGAAGAATTGAGGGGGAGGTGGGAGGGGGGAAGGAGTGGAAGAAAGTGCAGGGGAGGTGATGAGAGGAGAGAGCAGGGGGGAGGGGGTGATGGGAGATAAGGGGAATGAATGGGGAGAGGATGGGAGGGGTTATGGTTTGTCGGGTTCAGGGAGAAGAAGGGATGTGAGGCATGAGGAGGGGGGGATGGGAGGCATGTCCATCTAACGCAGTGGTCTGCAACCTGCGGCTCCAGAGCTGAATGGTGCTCTAGAAGAACGGCTTCGTGATGTTATTTAGCAGGGACCACGTCTCGGATTCACATGCATTCCTGCTCTAGAAATATTGTTTTTTTAAAATCCAAAATTCGAAAAAAAAGCTGTTATCGCCCACCCCTGCTCTAACGGAGCAGGGGTGGGCGATAGAGGCGGGGGGCGTCGGCCGCAGCAGGATGCCCGTGTCTGGGTTGGGCACGTATCATGGAGCCTCTTAGCTACCCTCTCTCCAATCTCTTGACCAATACATAGACCACCCCTCCCCCCACAACTGCGAGCGTAGACTCAGCCACAGAAAACAACAGGGGAGTGAGGGGAGGCGTGTGGAGGAGAGGAGGGGACGGGAGTTGGCATGAGGGAGGGAGCATGATAGCTTGGTGAGCAGTTGTAACTAGGTTATAGTTTGCTTTGTTCCTTTTTTTAACATATTAATGGTAAACTCAGGTTGCTGAACAAATACATTATACGGTCGCACTCATTTTACACAAAGTGCTTGTCACAAATGAACCACAATACCTTGCTGATCTCATCAAGGAGCATAAAATATCACGTGAACTCCGGTCATCCTCCCAGTGGCTTTTGGCTGTCTGGAATACTCTTCCTTAGGATATTCGGAAGCCACTGCAGCTACGCACTTTTAAATCTAGATTGGATACTAATTTCTTTCACTGCTTTTTGTGTTTAGTTTGTTGTCCTTCCTCCGCACGGTTTGCTACGTGCGGTGCCCAGGAAGTTCAACATACTTACATTTTGTGATGCATTGAGTATTTCTTCACCTTTGCTTGTAAACAAACCCAGTCATCCCCTTTATGAGCCCTTGTTTACCGTGTGTTTCAGACTTCCTGCCAACAAAGTTTCGTGGCAAAACGGAGGACGGAGAAATTTACACGGATTAAGCTTCACGAATTTTTTGTTGTTTTTTTAAATTACGATTTTAATTACCATTATCGTTCTTAAGTTTGTAAGTAAACTAGTTTGTTCCCATGTGAAAGCGTATTGTCCGAAATATACATCTCATCAACAAGAAATGCAAGTGAAGCGAGGGTGGTGGGGCGAGCCAGCCTTCCCTTCCACTCTCTCCGGAGCTGCACAATGGAACATTCCGCGTGTGGAGCGGACCCCGAGAAGTTGGGCCGCGCCACTTGCGAAGGAGGGGCGGGGGGGGGGAGCCACCAGCGCCGCTGCTGGCGAAGAGGATTAGAACTTTAACTACAGATTGTAAACAACGCAACTTGCTTCTCACGGGGTGGCAACGGGATGGAGAATTGAACCCACGTTTTGGAATGCGAGGGGTCTGTGTCACAACAACAGCAACGGAGACAAGAGAAACACAGTAACTTTTTAAAACACGGACATCTTTTCGTTTTAATTTCGTCGCACGCCGCGAAAGACGCCGGCGATACGAAACCGTGCACAACTTTTGCCAAAAAAAAACCGGCGCCATCTCGGGAACTCGTGAAGGCAACGGTGGTGGTGGCGGCGGCGGCGGAGGCAAGTAGTGAGAAACAAAAAGGAAACTGGAGACGGCGACGGAGTGAGGAGACGGAGCGAGGAGACGGAGCGTTCTTTTTTAACGCTTGCACGGAGACACGGAGACGGAGGGCGACGTAGAGAGGGGAGCGGAGGTGTTCTACTTTATCATTTGATTTGTTTTTATGTTGCGAGAGACGATCGTGCGGAGGATTTAACCTGGGCGTGCGCCTCGCGTGAGGGATATGAGTTTTATTTTGAATTTATTTTCCCCGCACCTGCCGTGATTTTATTGTAATATCTGTGGGATGTGGCTGGGGGTCGCGGGGGAGGGAAAGGAGAAAATTTGAGTGGAGATGAAATTTTAAAAATTCATACGAGTGGCGTACAGTGTTAACGCGTGTGTGTGCGTGCGTCTTGCCCGCGTGTACATGCACAGACGAGGCGGCCGCGCGTGATGCCGGCCGCACCACCACCCCTCCCTCATGCGCCGTTCTGGCGTTCATCGGTGCTCGCCAACAGCACTTCGCCCCCCAGCAGCAGCAGCCTGTTTTAGGCTGCATGGGGGAGGTCTTTGTACGTGCACGGTACCTCTATCCAGGTGCATTGTGTGCACGCGTGCACGTATTTGTACCATTGTACGCGCGTGTACGTATGCATTAATGTGAGATGTGTGTCCATACACGCGTGTGCATTTACGTCAATTAGCATTTGTGCGCGCCTGTGTTTGTGCGCGCGCACACATGTACTCGTTTGTTTGAAGGCATATGCATGCATGCAGAGGTATGTTAATGTGTGTATACATGTGTACATGCCTACAGATATGTTTGTATATGTGTACATGTATATAAACTTACCTTCATACCCGTATGCATGCATATATGTGTTGATATATTAGTGGTTACTTAATCAGCCCCGCAATTAGATGCAGTGCTACAATTCGGGGTTAGTGATTCGATTTCAAGAATCTTCCTTTTTCCAAAATTGAGGTGAATGATAGTGCCTCTCGTGGCTGCGGGGGTGACGTTGAACCCATTGCATACAACGTGTGTGATTCGGTGCATGTATCAAGAGCTTGGAAACCAATATTGATGCATCATACCACCACTAATATATACTGTATGAGATTACAAACAATGTCAATAAGTACACGCTTGTACGTACGCACGCGTGTATGAACACAATGTGAGTATACTTGGACATGCGTGTCTGCAGCACATGCACGCGTGCGTGTGTGCGTGTGAACATATGTACATACACAAAAGACACGTACACATTGTACATAGTTTTATAAATCGACATCACATCGGAACGGGCCACCCCGGTGTGACAGTTTTCGTGTTAATCGATGCGAGTCGGCAGGATCGTCACATCGCAGGAGCGTGAGACTGCGGTGGCTTGGCACGGCCTTCATCCAGCAGCATTATTGATCACGGCTGACGGTGCATGCATATCTCGCGATGAAGGCGCCGGGAGGAAGAGGAGGAACTGATAATGATTGTCGTCCCCCCCTCCCCCTCAGTGCAGCCGTGTGCACAGAGATCTGTTGATTCTAGCGACTTTTCCAATCGAAAGAGATCCGTTAATCCGTCACCTCCATTCACTTTCACAGAGATGTTGATGCAGGTGATTTTCATTTGTTTTTTTAATAGAGATCTTATTTTAAGTTAACTCGATTCACTTAAATCGATCTCCATTTAGTGATAGTATTCGAGTGTCTTGTTTGCTCTTTTATAAGAGGAATCATGTCTGTGGCGTCAATGTTACTGTCGTGCATATTCACAAAAGCATTGTTGTGGAAGTAACTCCGTTGAATTTACAAGCCTCTTGATTGATTACTGAGATCTTTATGAAAGTTTAGAGCCACTACGTAAAAAGAAAATATATGAAAGTGAAGGGACTTTGGTTTGTACAGTATAACGGATCTCTTTTAAAAGTGTTAGTAAACCTCCTTACAGATCCTAGAAAATGAATTTCTGTCACTTTTGAAAGTGAATACTTTGCCGTAGATCTCCCGTGTCACGAATGGCTTTTCCAGATCTCTCTGGAAGTGAACGGAGATGTTGTCGATGCCATATTTCGCAGTTTTGCCACTTTTTCTCGGCGCCTTGGGCAGCCAAGTCCAGGCCTTAGACAGCTCAGGGGGCGGGGGATGTCAGCCAGCCTGGCCTCGCCTCTAACCACGATCCCTCTCCGCTGGTCACCGATCACCTCTGCGCACTCGTGCAGGCGAGACCCATCATCTCACTCATTTGGGGGGAGGGGGGTGGGGTCTACTAATTCAATACAATTTTGAAACTATGAAAATTTCTACGGAGACGGATGACCTTCGACGGCTACATTTTGTTGGCCGATTGCTGGAAAGGAGGGGGTTTATTTTGGCGTTGGGTGGGTGGTGAAGTTTACCGGCTCAAGACGAATTTAGATGGCGATCTGGCATCGAGGCCACGGTCGGTGGTGGTGACCGCTGACCCGCGTGCTTGCACACTAGAGATGTCACTATTTTTTTAGTCGAGCGGAGACTTGAGGCCAAAGGGGGGGTGGGTGGGTGGGTGGGTTGGGGGAGTGCCGACGTTTGCCGCTCATTTTCACGGGGGTTCACTGCCGTTTCGAGTCGATCATCGGAATGAGTATTATTCATGCTGGAGGAATCTGATGAGCTATTACGAAGCCCTCTGTCCCCACGTATGTCCAGCATCATTGCCGCAGACACCATCAGGCAGTGGGAGAGCGAGGGGGGTCAGCGGGCTGTAATTGCTCGGCGAGCGGTCAAATCCAACGTCGCACGATTTTGATGTTTTTATTTTATATTTTAGCAAAGAAAAGAACTAAAAAAATTAAACTTGTTTTTAAATTAATTTTTGCCTCTGTGTGTGGCAAATCCCATTGTACAAAGAAGCACCTGCGAGAACTCACAGGCCGGGTGCGGATTATTTTCCTGCCGACACGACGAGCTTGGTGAATCGCGAAGGCAACATCTTGGTTATTGATTACATTGCTGCAGTTTTATTTGGTTCTCGGGCAATGCCGCGCAAGGAGGGGCGGGAATAAAAACTAAAATTCGCTGATTGTTTGTAATGGACGGTCGTGTTTGTTGGCATGCGATGAGAAGACTTTGCGACCGCAGCTCCAATTAGTTGGTGTTCATCCTTCACAATAATAAGCAGTGTTCATGGTGGTTCAGGCGTGCTCTCCAAAGATCCCCTGAAATGTACATTTTTGTTTCGTTTACAGATTTGCTCCACCCCCCCTGCCCCCCTCTTTGTTTACACAAGAAAGCATTGTCGAAGTCGAGTCTCCAGACTCAAAATTTACAGGAGGATCTTGACACCCGTGCGTGGTTTTATAACTGGACCGCAACAGCTTCGAGTTGTGTGTAAGATTGTCGCAACGCCGGCTATATCCGCTCCTGCTCCAGGCAGAGCCCTGCAATCTCCCCCCCCCCCCCCGTATCGGTCGCTTCCGTCGCACGCAACGATGCGCTTCACCAAACCCGCACCTTGTCCCACGTCGCTCATTGCGAGTCGTGGCCCGCAAAGTCGGGGGTGTCGATGGCAACGGTCGCGAAGTATTTGGAGCCGTTGCGGCTTGGAATTAGGGAACTGAAAGCAGTACAACACAGCGGTTTTTATACTTTATTGCATTTGTAAACTAAACCATTATTTTACCAGGTAAGGCCCACTGAGCTGTTTATAGCTCTTTCAGAGATGACCTGGCTGTCACAAATGATCGCCCAACGAAGTGGCTTATCACCACGTGGAAGTTTATAGCAGCCAAATACTCTAAACGCATGTTGATTCTAATTGTGGAGAGGAAAAACTGGAGGACCTGGATGAGAAAAAAAAATCCACGCGACCACGGGGGAGAACACGCGCACTCCAAATATACAGCAGGCGTCGGGGTTGTGATCGAACGCACGACCTCCTGTTTACCAGGCGCGAGGTAGTTCTCTTGCCACCGTGGCGCCCTCTTCATCTTGGAGTGCACAGCGGGTTTTCGTTTGAAAGAGCATCGACAGACATTGTTGCCAAGGGTCCCGTGTCAAGATGTGGCCAATGCCCGTGACTTTACCGAAAAAACCTAAGAATATGAATCCTTGCAGTCACGAAAGCTTCAAATCTAGAATTCACACAAGTGGTGTGGTTTTACGCCCTGCCCACAGTTCACTGGTAGATTTGCCCAACGGGAAACGACGATGCGGATGTCTAATCACATCCGCTGCTGTCGCCACAGCCTCTTTGGGAGCCAAGTGGTTCGTGTGTGAGATTTGGGCAAAAACAAATCAAATGTCATCCCGTGCGCGTGTGTAGGCAGCCGCGCGCGTGACCGTGCCGAAACCAGTCACTGTTTCCACCCCCCCCCCCCTATCAAAGTACGGTAGGCTTGCCACCTTTGCTGGTTTTGCCAGGATTTTCTCTTTTGAAGTAGTTGTCCAGGGGTAAATCTTATAAGTCTTTCCCAGGACATAAGTCCAGTTTTTTTGTTCCATTTTCTGATTAGACACCACTCAAGACAGTACCTTTGCATGTCGGTCTCCCTCAACCGGTATTGTGAGATTATTCCCACCGTATACATCTTGGCTTTTTGTACCCCAGAGGTGGCAACCCAACATTCAGTCCCCCCCCTCCCCTGCTTCCCCGCATCTCGGTGGCCTCAATTCTGTGACCGAATAGCGGGTTCCATCGTGGCCCTGATTGCATTTTTTTTGCTCGATTTCCGTTCTCTATGCGTCGTTGCCTGAACCAAAATCGTTGGACTTTTATCTTTGCGCTAACTATTGCATTTCTTTTTTTACTGTATATGTGGGATCGTCGTGGTTGTTGATTTGTGCTAAAAAAAAACTAAACGAAAAAAACATTTTGACTTTGCGATAAAAGCATGCTCCTGATTTGTCTGTATACTTTTCCACATTTAGATATTTTTTTATTTCTTAACGGTTGACCCCCAAAAAAACCCAGCACTCAATGTACCCACTCAGCCATGCCCAAAGACCCCTAGGGTCACCGACTTTCTCACCACTGCTGTTGTGATTGGCTGGCAAAGGGTTTTTGTTGTCGTGCCCTTCCCTGCCATCCGGCCACTCGTAACAGGCCATGCCTATACACAGCAGAGGGGCCCCTGTGTTTTCGATCTGGTGCGGATTGTTACCCTGGACCCGCCAATTCTAAGAGACAAAATGAGTGTTCCATCAAATCCTAGTCCGTACTTGAAAGCGTAGGTGGCTGAATTGTTGCACCCTTTAAATAAATAGAGGGTGCACCATGTACAAGTTTAAACCCCCCAAAACAAAAATTGTGGCATCCTGAAGCCAATGGTGGAAATTCCACAGTCCCATGGATTGAGCCGGTCTCTTTGAATAAGTGGTTGGTACCCGTTTTACCTAAGCCGGTATGATTGGTGGAGTTGACTGGCAGCCATCGTTTAATCACGCGGGCTTCCCGTTGTGAGCTGAACGTTAACCACGGCCCCAGCCAGCAGGATGAAGTAGCGAGTGGTAGTACAGTTTAACACGCAGACTTTCACGACCAATATCCATAATAAAGTATTTTTTTGGGTTAGATCTTTAAATACTAATGTATCATAATTGGTTCTTTACCCTTCTATCTGGCAACAAAACTGACACCTTTTTGCAAGGAGTCATGTTTGCATAGACCGCAATACCTGCAGTCATAATACAAACAAAAGAACATAACTCTGATAATGTGCACTGTCCTTGAAGTTGATTGGTCCACACCCGAGACAGCTTTCCTTCGAGCCTAGTCTCATATGGGTTGGACCAGATGACGCCAAAATGCGCCTTTTGGCGTCATCTGGTCCAACCCATATGAGACTAGGCTCGAAGGAAAGCTGTCTCGGGTGTGGACCAATCAACTTCAAGGACAGTGCACATTATCAGAGTTATGTTCTTTTGTTTGTATTATGACTGCAGGTATTGCGGTCTATGCAAACATGACTCCTTGCAAAAAGGTGTCAGTTTTGTTGCCAGATAGAAGGGTAAAGAACCAATTATCATATTTTTACTGGCAAATGAGGTCCCCATAGTACTAATGTATCGTTAACATTCCACCACACAACAGAATCCGGCAAATTGCCCGACGAAGCTGCTTATAATTATTAGCGAAACGTCGTACTCAAGTTGTAATTTCGTTTTACTCAACAACACCGGTATGCTGAAGTAGTGACTGATAGGCATGTTTTGTTTACGTATTTTATACCTACGTGACTTTACCGAAAGAACCAAAGAGTACACATTACTAATTGGCTGTGTCGGGTGGTGGCGGGTTAACGACACGTTTATATTCATGCGATCTAACCCAAAAAAAACCTTCATTATGGATCAAGTATTATACAGGAACTCGTGTTTACCAATTCACGTAAATTTGTCGCACCTCGGTGGCGTTACAATGGTTTCAAAATGGCCACCCTCACATACTTGAGGATGATTCAAACCTATTATGGCTTCTCGAAGACATGAAGAGTTTCAAATTCAGTTTTTTTTCCAGACTAAAGACCATTTGATTAAAATCTATTTAGTAATTTGATAAATAAGGGTGCACATAATTTTTTCAAGTGAAATCAATGCATTTAGGATGTAATACAGTTTTTTGTAGGCAAAATGAACTACACGTGCTAAATTCCATCCAATCACCGGCAGCTGTCGTGAGGAAGATGCCGGACACTTGCATCACGGAAGATGGCATGCATTTCATCCAATCACAGGCAGCTGTGATGAGGAAGATGGCATGCATTTCATCCAATCACAGGCAGCTGTAATGGGGAAGATGGCATGCATTTCATCCAATTACAGGCAGCTGCGATGAGGAAGATGACGGACACTTGCATCACGGAAGATGGCATGCATTTCATCCAATCACAGGCAGCTGTAATGGGGAAGATGGCATGCATTGCATCCAATTACAGGCAGCTGTGATGAGGAAGATGACGGACACTTGCATCACGGAAGATGGCATGCATTTCATCCAATCACAGGCAGCTGTGATGAGGAAGATGGCATGCATTTCATCCAATCACAGGCAGCTGTAATGGGGAAGATGGCATGCATTTCATCCAATTACAGGCAGCTGTGATGAGGAAGATGACGGACACTTGCATCACGGAAAATGGCATGCATTTCATCCAATCACAGACGGCTGTGATCGGGAAACCGCATTGTACAAGTTCGCCAGTAATTATGGCCGTGGAGAAGAGAATCAAATTTCGTTTTGAAAAAACGGAAAGTTACTCAACTTGCACGTATATAATAAGAAAAAAAATCCAGGAAAACTTAGATTTGAACAAATAGAGTTATATCTCGTGCTTCTTAAGTGAGGCCCAGTGAGTTCTGGAATCAAATTGAGCGCCCGAGTTTGGGTTTCTCCTTTTTTTTAAACGATTAAATGTACCGCCGTAGTAATTATTTTATACATGTAGTTTACATTATTTCCTGAGGTATTAAAGCGTTTTTGAACACTGGTGCAGACCCCATTTTGGGTCCGACTTGACTTCGACAAGATGGCGTCCTCATGCCATTTGACAAGATGGCGTTAGGAGAAAGATGGCGTTCTCGAGACAATCTGCCCGAATCTCCCCCCCCCCCCCAATCAAGCAAATGGATAAAAAAAAAAACATGGCCACAGGCTGGGGATGATTTCTAAGAACATTGAAACTGGTTGCACAACAGTTGCCTTGTAAGGTACAGAGACGCTGCAGCGTGTCGATGATGACCGCTAACATGGTTGAAAGCAGTAGTCTATCGTGTCGGGAAGTGATAAGACATGCATTGCGTCATATTGCACTGATGATTCCCAGTAATATTGAAACTGACACGTGTGTTGACATTACCAGGGTTCTATTGTCATTGTCAATGATGATTATCCCCAATGTGATTGAAATTGATACTGATTTGCCCTATAGGGTATCAGAATTGTAATGTCAACGATGATCCTCTGATGAAATTGAAACCGGTAAACGGTTTACAACTCGGGTAGAAGGGACAAACCGTACTGATGATCACAAACTAAACTTAGAAGCCCTGTGGGCTAATAGGTATTTACTGTCACGGAAATCTCTTAACAAAATCGAAACAGCTCAACAAATTACTCAATCGCCGTGAAACCAGCACGGCACATGCAGTTACAATGTCGCGTCACTGTAACAAACATCGCGCCACAATGTCCCGTCGTTCTTGAACAACAAGAAAAGATGGCGCCCGCGTGCAACGTCTGTGCACGTGCACTGCCCCTCATTCATCGCGACATTTCGGGGTTTTCCCCCAAAAAATGCTGCGCGGCCTACATGATTAATTTCAGCATAGTTGGGTATTTACCAGGGCGGCAGAGGATCTCGAACCGTGAACCTCTTACAACAAAGTTTTGCAAGACCTGGCTCGTTTGTTCGTCTACCGAGGGTCTGCTTTTTTAATTTCTTGCAACCGCTCCCAAACAAATCCCCCACTCCGCCACCCACCCCCTTTTTTTAATCAGCCGAGTTTTTGAGTCGTAGACCGAAGTGGTTTTTAATAAAAGTTTAAAGTTTGGAGATTAATTTTTTCGTCTTGCAAAGCCCTCCGTGTGTGTTGCTTAACGTTCACTGGAGGCTCTGATAAGTCTGTGGAAAATCCTCGTTCCTTTGGCAAGGAATGGTTTATCCATTGTAAATTGCACCCACGTACGGTGATGATTAAGATCAGGTTGATGTGCGGAGTTTTCCGAGTGGCTTTTTGGCAGGCTGTGTAATTGAATGGATATCCGATTGGCTGCCTGATTACCTGACCCGCTTATGAAGCGGCACTTTGTGAGACTTGCTGCCTGGTTGGATTATCTGCTCATGCAGTCTGTGCCCTCATTGGTTGAATGCCAGCATCCAAATTTTGGTTTCCTTGTTCAATTAATCGAGAATGTGAAAAACCGAGTGACCGCTTTGGACATGTTTACATCACTGCACACCGACACAAGCCAGCCTTGGGGTTCCTTATGATTGACCTCGTGCACATGAGCTGGTTCTGGTGTCACTGGATCACCTGGTTCTGGTGACTTTCCACTGCCGTGCCGAGTCGTGCCGTGACAAAAAACCGTGAAACTCTGGCCTCACGAGACAGCCTGGGTGTATCCCTGGGTTTGATCTTCCACGAAGCTCACGGTCCACCCATAACCGCACCCACTGCACAAACCATGGCAGCAGATGCGGATACCTGATGCACAAAAGCAAAATTAAAAACTCTGCAGCAGTGTGCGACTGGTCATCCAGAACAGACCGGAGTACAACGTGTCACGACGCAATGCCCCGATCCACAAATACGAAGGAGAACATCGCAGCGATGCCACTCCGCTCCTCCTGCAGCGCTTGTCTGGCTTGATGTGAAATTTAAGTTGTTGCTTCTGCATCTACATCAGCCGTCATGCGAAGGAAGAAGATTGCCTTGAATTTCGATTTAAAGCTTTCGTGACTGCAGGGATTCATCTTCTTGGTTCTTTCGGTAAAGTCACGTAGAAGGAAAGTAATAAAATAATAAAAATAAAACACAATAAACGTCGTGAGAATTATTTTATTATGTTTTATTTTTATTATTTTATTACTTCCCTTCTACGTGACTTTACCGAAAGAACCAAGAAGAAGATTGCCTTGGTTAATAATTTCCATCGGTGCACTGCGAGGACAGCGTCATGCTGTCGCGTGAAACGTCCGCGGCACGGCACGGCTTCGGCTTTCGCAGTGGACAAAAGAAGCGAGCCGAGCTGGCTTAGCACGGCCGCTTACAGCCCCAGTGAAGCCGCGTGGTGCCGCGCCTTCATCCGCAGGTCCGCGAGGCTCGAACGCTTCGAGACGGAGGAGATCTGGGCTCCTGCGGAAGACAGCAGCGGGTAGAAGAACTCAATTTGAGTTGGTTATCATCATCCTCGGCAGCAGCAATGATATGTCTACTGCAGGGTGAAGACCTACATGTGCATAGACACCAGCGTGTGGACTATGTTGTTTTTCCGTGTGTATGTATGTGGAAGAGTAGGCCAAGTATCCTCTAATAGTCTAGAGAAACTCCCTCTAATTTTATTGTGGGACTGTTGTTTTTGCTGCCCTTGCCTAATCTCGATTAATCGGACATATAATTCGTAACTTTATTTATATTTAGTTAAATCTTGATTTGAAGCTTGGTTTGCTGCTGTAACTTGCCGACCCCGTCCGATGCGGTTGTCAAAGAGCTTCAGAGCGAATCGGATTGCTGCTCCTGCGAGTCTGAAGTGAAGATTCGGGCGATTCGAACGGAGGCGCCTTCCAAGCAGTGGACGCGCGAGCCGAGCCACTGCAGGGGACTGTGAGCCAAGCGGTTTATGTGCGGGGCACGGCCCACGCTCTCCTATAACGCGGCGGTTGGTGTGTTCCTGAAGAAAACCGCGTTATGGGAAAAGCGCGTTGTAAGAATTTTTCTTACAAATCGCGTTGTAAAAAAAAAAAATCGCGTTGTAATAAATAAATAAAAAGTAGCGTTTTAATAAATAATTTAAAAAGCGCGTTGTAATAAATAAACGCGTTCTAATAAAAAAGAATTAAAAATCGTGTTGTAATAAAAAAAAAGCGCGTTGTAATAAATAAATAAAATTTGCGTTGTTATAAATAATAACAAAAGGCGCCTTGTAATAAATAAATAAAAAGCGCGTTGTAATAAATATAAAAAAAATCGCGTTGTAATAAATTATAATAAAAAAAATCACGTTGTAATAAATAATAATAAAAAAGATCGCGTTGTAATAAAGAAATAAAAAATCGTGTTGTAATAAAAAATTAAAAGATCGCGTAATAAAAACATATTGGGGGGGGGGGGGGGGGCGTGTGAAGCACAATCCGCGATAATGCGCGAGATGCGCGCGCAGGCGGCACGAAGACTTGAGGCGCGTGGGCAGCGTCCGGAAGCATCCAGAAGCATCCAGCAGCATCCCCAGGGGCAGCCGCATGAAGCGCGCATTCCTACTCGCGCCACGTCGTCTCTGCTCACTCGGTAGCGTTATATCCATTTCGCATCTCCCTGATGCAATTCATCTCCTTGCTGTCCAATTCGCGTTATAAAATCAACACGCAGCGTTATAGGAGAACAGATTGTACGTTCACGTCTCGCTGGAGAGGACTTTCACCTCACTTGATACAGCAAATTTAGCTGTGACGGTCCCACCTGATGACGGAGACTTGTGTTGCCTCCGAAACGTGATTTTTATTATTTAATTTTTATTAATTTAAATTAAAAATTTTATCTACGTGACTTTACCGAAAAAACTAAGAGTATAGGACTTTCACGTCTAGCTGGAGGACCGAGGCGCGTTGCGGCTCTCCTCACCGTCGGACGCGGCCGCGAGTCCCAGGGGCAGGGCGAGCGCGAACGGCACCGGCTGGAGGAGGCCCCAGGACTGGAACGTCGCCGGTTCGACTCCAGATCCAGCGCCGAGCTCTACGCTGGGACTTTGGGGGGGCCGCCGCCGGGTCACGTGGTCGCAGCACAGGTGAGCGGGCACCTTGTGTGTGTGCAGGGCGCCCGGTGGATGGAAGTTCCCGTTCGTGTCGGAGACAGAGATCCATCGTGATGGAGGTGTTTGGGTCAGATCGCGTCAATGTCAATGTCGTCGTCGTTTAAGCCGCCACCACCCGACACGGCCACTTTGTAAGGTTTGTCGCGTGAAACAAAACACGCCAATTCGTTACGAGGTCAGCACACCAGTGTGTTGGAGAGTAAACCCACGACAACATTTACAACTTGAGCACGTGCTAAACTGAAAGTCACAAAGATGCACCCCCCTGTATAGCCTCAACGTACTTATGGGGCAAGTGCAATTAGAGAGGAATCACCTAGCAGACGACATCAGAGATCGGTGCCAGGAAGACGTGGCGCTAACATGAGCCTATTGGCACTGCAAGGCACGAGAGAAAAGTCATTAAATGACGATATCTGCAGTGGAGACACCTACGGGGGCGATCTGCACCATGGATCGTGATGATGAAGAAGACGCCTCGCACGGTGCACGGAGTGGGTGGCGTCGCGAGCACCACGCCCGGCCGCCTTTGTCACCCCAGTGCTGACGTTTTACACGCTGCACCAGGTTACTCACGGCTGAGTCTACCTAGGGGAGGCCCGGAACCAGTTTCGATGTCACTCGCTGCTGAATGTTAACCGTGGCCGGGGAAATCGGAACCCTGCTGCCATGGCATCGTGGCGCAATGTTCCAGCCACTTGCTGCTAAGGCTACCCGGGGGGGCTTTGTCCTTGCGTTCTCACCTGGTGATGATGCGACCTCGTGACTCCCATGTGGATGTACGGGGCCACGCGGTGCCCGTCCAGACCCGGCCTCAACATCACGCCTACAACACCAACAACACGATCACCATCATCAACACCACCACCACCATCATAATGGTGACCATCAATGCATCACTACCATCATCGTCTATAACAGCGTGGTCTCCACGTCTCTGTCACCCCGAGTTTCTCTCTGTCCAGGTGTTTGTCTCCATATCTCCTAGTCTCCCTCTGTCCGTGTCTCCACGTCTCTGTATCTCCCGTGTCTCCACGTCTCTGTGTTTGCCCGCCCTCTGTGTGTCCCAGCGTCTCTGCGTCTCCCTGCCTTCGTGTCTCCCGTGTCGTCCGTCTCTGCGTCTCCCTGCCCCTCTAGCTCGTCGGTGTCTCTGCAGCCTCACCTCTCCGCGTCTGCATCTCCTGTTTCCTGCACTTCGCGCGCCTGTTCTGGAACCAAACCTGAAAGTTGCGGGCAGCGAGACGCGGTGAAGCGATACGGCTGACTGGCAAGAGAGCGGCAAAAACACAAACAAGGCAACCACCCTGGGTAGCCCGGGGCGTTTCTGTGCAGGGCCGCCACAGTGGCTAGGAGATGTTAACGAGCTCGCCTGGGATACGGGAGGTCGTGGGTTCAACACCGACCCTGCCGCCCGCTGTATGTGTGGATTCTAGATTTTAAGCTTTCGTGACTGCAAGGATTCATATTCTTAGGTTTTTTCGGTAAAGTAACGTAGGTAAAAAATATGAAAATTAATAAAAGTAAAATAAAAATAAATAAAAATCACGACGTTTCGGAGGCAACACAAGCTTCCGTCTTCAGGTGGAACCGTCACAGCACGATAGCTGTATCAAGTGAGAGAAATTCCAAGAAAACAGTCCTTGTATATATATACTGGTTGAGGGTGGGAGGAGCCAAGGTAGGCCCTGAATATTTTTTTTACCTACGTGACTTTCCCGAAAAAACCGAAGAATATGTATGTGTGGAGATTGCGGTGTCTCTCCCCATGGTGGTCGCGTGGATTTTTCACCGGGTCCTCCCGGTTTTCCCCACTCCACATTTAGAATTAACATCACGCGTTTAGAGTGATTTGGCTGCGATAAATTTCCACGCATTAAGCCGCTTCGTTGAGCTATCATTTGTGGCCAGGTGGCTTCTGAAAAAAGAGCTGCATCGCTCGGTGTATCTGGTGAAATAAAAAAATGCTTTAGTTTGAGTTTTTCCTGCATCGCTTAGGATATTTTAACCGATTAAAAATAAGCACACAATGTCTCTTTTCCCATGTCTGTCTTCCAATTTTTCTCGGGCTGCATAATTTCAGCAGAAGCAGAATTGATGCAGTACAAGCACAATTCTGGACCGGTTTTGACATCCAGTGTCTCATTAGCAGAGTCAGGCTTGCTTGAATCAAATTCGTATTCATTTTTATTCGCTAGGGAATGCCCACTGAGCTATATAGCTCGTTTTCATAAGGGACCTGGCCACAAATGATAGCTTAACGAAGTGGCTTTTATGGAAATGTACAGCAGCCAATTACTCGAAACGAATGTTTCTAAATGTGGAGGGAAAATTCCGGAGGACTCGGATAACAATCCACGTGGAGAGAGACACGCAAACTCCAAATACACAGCAGCAGGCGTCAGGGTCGGGGTCGAACCCACAACCTCCTGTATACCAGGTGAGGTAGTTAACATCTCATAGCCACCGTGATGATCATGATTAGAGAGAGACACGCAAACTCCAAATATACAGCAGCAGGCGTCAGGGTCGGGGTCGAACCCACGACCTCCTGTATACCAGGCGAGGTAGTTAACATCTCCTAGCCACCGTGATGATGATGAGAGAGAGAGAGAGACACGCAAACTCCTAATATACAGCAGGCGTCATAGTCGGGATCGAACCCACGACCTCCTGTACACCAGGCGAGGTAGTTAACATCTCCTAGCTACCGTGGCGCCCAAAGATCCCCCTTATAGCCTTAACAGACTGTTGGGGCAAGTGCTGTTAGCGAGCACCCATGAAGGCCGGCACGGCGCAAGACGGAAGGAGGAGGATGGTGGCCAACTCTATGCTCGGCCGCCTTTGTCTCCCCAATGTTGATATTGACGCACCAGGTGCTCAGTTGAGGCCGAATAGACATAGGGGAGGCTGAGGACCGGGTCAAGATATTCGCCACTATTGTTGTTGTTGAGTCGTGAGTGGGAATCGGACTCGGGTAGCGCAGTGCGTTAGCCACCGCGTTACCGTGTACACCACCACCACCACCACGCTACCGTGTACACCACCACCACCACGCTATTGTGTACATCACCACCACCATCACCACCACACTACCGTGTACACCACCACCACACTACCATGTACGCCACCACCACACTACCATGTACACCACCACAACCACACTACCGTGTACACCACCACCACTACCACACTACCGTTTAGACCACCACCACCACCACACTACCGTGTACACCACCACCACTACCACACTACCATGTACACCACCACCACCACACTACCATGTACACCACCACCACACTACCATGTACACCACCACCACCACACTACCATGTACACCACCACCACCACCACACTACCATGTACACCACCACCACACTACCATGTACACCACCACCACCACGCTACCGTGTACACCACAGCCCCCCCCCCCCCCCCCCCCCCGGGGCACGCTCATTGTTCTTTCGTCCCCCACGCTTCACGTGTGCGGCACCAGCTGCGGCTGTTGTCATTACTTCATGTCTACAGCTGCGGCTGTCATCGGGGTTACGACTGGGGCGTGTGGGACATCTTCCCTTACTGGGGAGAAGCTGAATTGGACTCTCAGTCGATATTAAAAGCTTGATCGCACCGAGACTGCGCGCATTGACTGTGTGCTCAGAGCTGCTTTGTATGTGGAACTTCTTTCGCACCGTACGTACCCGACTGTGCTCATCGAAGGTGCGCGGAGAACGACAACAAACTAAACACAAAAAAGCAGTCCTACAAAACATGAGTTTTCAATCTAGATTTAAAAGTGGCTTCCTCATATGGAAAACAAGAGCACTCCAGACGGCCGCAGAAGCGCGCATCTGAAAGCGCGCGATGCGGCGAAATCGGTAACATCGTGCAAATGTTCGTTCTCATTTGGGATTAAACATCGTAACGATCGCCCCCCGACTGCAAACACTTGGCAGGACCCTCCTGAAAAATAGTCATGGGGCTCGGTGATGGTTTCTTGGATAAACAAGCGAAATCATAACAACAACGGTGCAATTATAAAGTGGCCTTCACACGCCATTTTCAGATTTCTGGCGACTGCCTGATGATGCGAGGCGTAGCTACCAACGAAACGTCGTGCCAAATGCGTGCGGATCGCTCTCCAGCACCACCCGGCTGCTGTTGCTTACGTGGCAACTTTACGAATTGGCCGTGTCGGGTGGAGGAGGGTTTACGACGCATTTTACTAAAGCGATCTGACACCGCCCCCCCCCCCCCCAAAAAAAAAAAACTATCATCTGTCGTGGTCTTCCCAGGTCTAAACTATCGCCCTCTATCTTCTTGGCTCTTTCGGTAAAGTCACGTAGAAGGGAAATAATACAATAATAAAAATAAAACAAAATAAAATACAAAAAAAATATCGTCCTCTAGTAGCCGATTAGTGCCGCTAAGATGTTCGCAGCGAGGAATACAACATTGTAACACTGCGTTCCGGGGGCCTTTATAAGTTTGTGGGCTGCTGCGCTCTGCCGCGGGGCCCTGTTGACATGAAGTCGCGGGTCGGAGCCCACGAGGGGAGAGGGAGGGGGGGCTTACGGCTCCACCACCACCCGCACCCTCGCCAGTAGCAGCAGCTGTAGCTGTAGCTGCGGCTGCGGCCGTGGCCGTGCCTGCGGTACCTGGACGCGCGTCTCGGGCAGGTGGAGGCGCGCGCTGAGCGCGAGGCGCGCGCCCCCGTCGGGGTAGTGTGACTCGTCGAAGGCGCGCTCCAGCTGCTGCAGCTGCTCCGCAGAGAAGCTCGTTCGGCAACGACGTGAGCGACGCAGCCCTGACCCTCCTTCTCCTCCTCCTCCTCCTGCTGCTGCCACAAATAGACCGCAATACCTCGCTGCTGCTGAGCTCGTCAAGGTGCATAAACCATCATCGCGCGAACTCCGCTCATGCTCCCGGCTTTTGGCTCGCCGTTGAACAAAGTGCGGCGGTCACCGCTCTCAGATGCGATTTTGCGGCCGTCTGGAACCCTCTCGCTTGCGATATTAGGAAGCCACTGGAGCTACGCACGAACACATTTATTTTGGACCGCTTTTTGTGTTTAGGTTGTTGTCCTTCCCCCGCACCTCCGATTAGCACGGTCGGCTACGTACGGTGTGAAAGAAGCTCAACATACATACATACGTACGTGATTCTGATGATGTTGTTGTTGATCCCACTGTTACCCGTGGCCCCATTCGTCTTTCCGCCGCTGCTGCTGCTGGAGACGATGATGCTGCTGCTGCTATTCTTGACCGTACTCTTGTCCGTGGCCCCAATCCTGCTGCTGCTGATGATGATGTTGCTGCTGCTGATGATGATGTTGCTGCCGCTGCTGCTGATGATGTTGTTGCTGCTGATGATGTTGTTGCTGCTGCTGCTGATGATGATGTTGCTGCTGCTGACGTTGCTGCTGGTGCTGCTGATGATATTGCTGCTGCTGACTTTGCTGCTGGTGCTGATGATGATGTTGCTGCTGCTGGTGCTGATGATGATGTTGCTGCTGCTGCTGCTGCTGCTGATGTTGCTGTTGCTGCTGGTCTCAGCTGTTCTCCTCTTGCTGCAGCTGCAGCTGTTGCTGTCCAAGGTTCTGACCCTGCTGCTGCTGCTGCTGCGGGTCTCAGCTGTTCTCCTCTTGCTGCTGCTGCTGCTGCACCGACTCCAGTCCGAGGCACAACGCCTCCTCTTCCTGCTGCTACTGCTGCTGTCCAAGGTCCTGACCCTGCTGCTGCTGCAACGTCTTCTTCATCAGTTGTTGCTGCTCTATTAAATCCTCCTCCTCTAGTAACTCTTCTTCCTCCTGCTGCTGCTCCTGCTGCTTGAGCCCCCGGACCAAACCGGGCAGAGCTCCGAGTCTCTTCGTCCTCCTCCTCCACTACGCCGCGGGCGTCTGTGCAAGTAAACACGCGAGCCGGAGCAGCCTGTACGTCCGTCTGACCCAGCGACTCCGTCACAACGCGCCGTGGGCCGCGTATCGCAGACCCCGCCACCGCTGGGACCCCGCGGGTTCAGAGCTGAGGTTGTTTTCGCACATCCCATTAGCACGGTTGGCTCCGCACGGTGTGAAAGAAGTTCAACTGTGCGTACACGCACGCACGCACCCGCACGCACGCACGCACCCGCGGATCCAACCGAGTCCTCTAGTGCAGTGAGTTTGATGGTCTCAGCGCGGTAGGCAGTGACTCGTATGCAAATAAAAATAGACCCATAGACCTACGTAGAGACTTTACACTATGAGACATCTCCTTTACCAGTGGCAAAATATAGTGATAGGGTTTTACCCTTTCAACTGGTACAAAAACTGACACCTTTATACAGGGCATCATGTTTTTTGGTACGCCTTTTGGCGTCATCTGGTCCAACACCAATGGAGACTAGGCTCTAAGAAAAGCTGTCTCGGGTGTGGACCAATCAACTTCAAGGACAGTGCATATCATCATCAGAGTTGTTTCTTTTTGTTTGCATTTTGACTGCTTGTGTTGTGGTTATTGCAAAAACATGATGCCTTGTATAAAGGTGTCCGTTTTTGTACCAGTTGAAAGGGTAAAAACCTATTACTATACGTACGTAGAGAGCCACAGACTCGCTCACCCACGGCATTTACACAAAGACCCGTAAACTGACGTCGACTGTGAGTTATGATTAAACTCGGGGTCCTCGAGTGTCGTGCGGTGATGCTCTCAGCCTGGTCCACAATGACCGCGCGCGCGCGCGATACAAACCCACGGTGGAGTAACGTTGGTTGCGGACTTAAATCGGCCGAGGTCCGTCTCCGATACCCTTTGGTTCTTTCCGGAAAGTCACAAGCAATCGTTATCAGGTGTGAAATCCACAGTAAGAAAATTTGAAAAAATAAAAAAATGTCTTGCTGTGGATTTGACACCTGATGACGATTGCTTGTGTTGCAGTCGAAACGTCGTGATAATTTTATTGTTTTATATTTTTATTATTTTATATCCCTTCTACGTGACTTTACCGAAAGAACCAAGAATATGGAGGGATGATGTGAAGGATTGAATGGAGGAGTGACAGGTAGAATTAAGGCTCAAGGCGATGAAATTAACGAGGAGAGAGTGAGTGAACGACTGGTGAAGGAGTGAATACGTGAATGCGGAGGTGAGGAGGTGAATGAGTCCGGGTGAATGAAGAGTGAAGGAATCAATGGTGGGAGGTGTCTGTTAAGGAATGCCCCAGTAAGTGAATATAGCAGTGAATGAGTAAATCAATGAACGTTAGAGTGAATTCATTATAACGTGGAGGCGTGAGGCGGTAAATGCGGGAGACAACCAGCGAATGGATGAATGAATGAAGGAAATCATTGAATGTATGGAGAAGTGAGTGAATTAATGCTTAAAGCACGTGAATCGGGGGAGTAAACAACAAGAACGAACCAGTGGATATGTGGGCAATGAAAAAAATGAATGAATGAAAGCGAGAGAGAGAGAGAGAGAGGAAGAGACGGGACACAAACCCCACAACGAACGGTGACTCCCACGTCGCATCATTCGTCTAACCTCACACCTCACTCACATGGGTTGGAGTCCCCAGTTGGGGCCTCCACTCGGCTGGTCTCCGCCCCACCTCTGTGCCGGACCCCGCTGGGTCGCGGTCTCCGTCCTCCACCCGCGAAGGAGGCGCGGACGAACCGAGCGAGTTCCTCCATCCCTCGTGTCGACCTGCGGCTGTGGGGCGCCACGTGTCAACTGTATTTTAGACGAGTGTCTTATCATGGGACTCTTTTCTTTTTGCCAGTATCAAAGTGTGAAAAGATAAACACGTTCAATTTGGTCTTCACCTGAGGACGGCTGCTTGCGTTTGGGGCCGAAACGTCGTGAGAATTATTTTATTATGTTTTATTTGTATTATTTATTATTTCCCTTCTACGTGACTTTACCGAAAGAACCAATAAGAAAATAAACACGTTCCTTCGGAGTGGCCAGGTAGGAACTTGGTTGGACAGCGCATTTGTGCACGACAGACAGACAAATAATCCCTGGTGGGCAGTGTGGAACCTGTTGCTCATACCTGTAATATGCATTGTCATATAATACTCCGTAAAGTATTTTTTTTATTAGGGGGGGGCGGGGTTAATTTATATGTTTCATGTTAACCTAGAAATGCATTAATTTGTTTTATTTTTTACAAGGAATACATTTGCTTTTTTGGACAAACCGAATCACCTTTAGGCTGGGAATGTCGAAAGAAACACGAGGCAAAAACATCCGCTGTTTCCTTTTCAAGGCTTCCATTTTATGAATGGAGCCACCCTCCCCCAGTTCCATTTTGTGAATGAACATCGCCCGTCTCCTCATTGGCCCGAGTCGCGGCGGTCCCCCCCCCCCCACCACTAACCCCCCCTCTACCAACCCCAACCCAGCGCTCCCATTGGTCGGCGCCCACGAGCCAATGGGAGGGCTCTGGTGGGGCGGGGCCATGCACGTAGACAGACAAATAATCCCTGGTGGGCAGTGTGGAACTGTTGTTCCTACCTGTAAAATAGTCTGCCTCAGCAGCAGACCATGCTTTCCCACCAGATGACGGACGCTTGTGTTGCGCCCGAAACGTCATGATCTATTTTATATTCTACCTACGTGACTTTACCGAAAGATTTTATTATATTATTATATTATTTTATATTATATTATTTTATTATGGTATTATATTATTTTATTATGTTTTATTATTATTTTATTATTTCCCTTCTACGTGACTTTACCGAAAGAACCAAAGAGTATGGATTCCTGCAGTCACGAAAGCTTCAAATCAAGAATAATAACATGAGTTTTATTTTACCCTTTCTGACAATAAAACAGGAGGTGTTAGGATGTTCAAACGCCAAATAGGAAACCTTTTGCAAGGAATCAGGTCTGCATTAACCACACACAGGATGGGTGGTGAACATGCAAATAATCATGCTCCGATATTCTGTGCATTGTCTTTGGAACTGATTGGCCTACACGACAGACATTAATTTGTGGCCTAGTCTCACCAATGTCAGACCAGAGAACGCCAAACGGCGAACAGTACAAAGACAATGCCCGTATCAGATCATTTATAGCTCGGGTTGAGCAGCTATATCATGGAATCTTTTTTGCCAGTATCACTTTTATTGCCAGAAAGGGTAAAGCCTATTCTTATTTTTCAAATGAGTCTTTTACTTGACCAGGTGAGGCCCCACTGAGCTATGTAGCTCTCTTTCAGAAGCGACCTGGCGATCACAGGTGATAGCTCAACGAAGTGGCTCACCATCATCGTGTGGAAATGTACATTATTCTAAAGGCGCGTTGCTTCTAAATGTGGAGGGAAACACTGGAGAACCCGGACTCACAGCAGACTAACATTGCCCATAGACTAACATTGCCCAGAGACTCATAACAGACTAACACTGCCCATAGACTAACATTGCCCATAGACTAACATTGCCCAGAGACTCACAACAGACTAACAGTCTAACACTGCCCATAGACTAACATTGCCCAGAGACTCACAACAGACTAACAGTCTAACACTGCCCATAGACTAACATTGCCCATAGACTCACAACAGACTAACAGACTAACACTGCCCATAGACTAACATTTCCCATAAACTAACACTGCCCATAGACTAACACTGCCCATAGACTAACATTGCCCTAGACCAGGGGTCGGCAACCTACGGCTCCGGAGCCGCATGCGGCTCTTTACGGGCTGCTTCTTGACGATATGTACGTATGTACAGTATGTACTCAGATGCATTGCGGCTCTTGAAATACTGAATTTTGTACCGAATTGGAAAGAAATGGCTCTTCTTGTTATTTTGGCTGCCGACCCCTGCCCTAGACTAACACTGCCCATAGACTAACATTGCCCATAGACTAACATTGCCCATAGACTAACACTGCCCATAGACTAACACTGCCCATAGACTAACATTGCCCTAGACTAACACTGCCCATAGACTAACATTGCCCATAGACTAACATTGCCCATAGACTAACACTGCCCATAGACTAACACTGCCCATAGACTAACATTGCCCATAGACTAACATTGCCCATAGACTAACACTGCCCATAGACTAACACTGCCCTAGACTAACACTGCCCTAGACTAACATTGCCCATAGACTAACATTGCCCATAGACTAACATTGCCCATAGACTAACACTGCCCATAGACTAACACTGCCCATAGACTAACACTGCCCATAGACTAACATTGCCCATAGACTAACATTGCCCATAGACTAACACTGCCCTAGACTAACACTGCCCTAGACTAACATTGCCCATAGACTAACATTGCCCATAGACTAACATTGCCCATAGACTAACATTGCCCATAGACTAACACTGCCCATAGACTAACACTGCCCATAGACTAACATTGCCCATAGACTAACATTTCCCATAGACTAACACTGCCCTAGACTAACATTGCCCATAGACTAACATTGCCCATAGACTAACATTGCCCATAGACTAACATTGCCCATAGACTAACACTGCCCATAGACTAACACTGCCCATAGACTAACACTGCCCATAGACTAACATTGCCCATAGACTAACATTGCCCATAGACTAACACTGCCCATAGACTAACACTGCCCATAGACTCACATTGCCCATAGACTCACAACAGACTAACAGACTAACACTGCCCATAGACTAACATTGCCCACAGACTAACACTGCCCATAGACTAACATTGCCCATAGACTAACATTGCCCATAGACTAACACTGCCCATAGACTAACACTGCCCATAGACTAACATTGCCCATAGACTAACATTGCCCATAGACTAACACTGCCCATAGACTAACACTGCCCTA